GAATAAGTAAATAAATTAGAAATAAATAATGTTTATTTTAGTACCGTGTTCATTTACATTTAGTCATTTAACAGACGCTGTTCATACCGTGTTTGAAAATTTGAATATTTGAAAATAGATATATATATTATACTGTATATTAATCTATATATACATTAATCATATAAAATGACACAGTAGAGACCCGTAACGATGCTAGCAATATCAAAGCCAGGGGCTTGATTCTTATGAAATGCATGAACTGATCACATGTATACTTTAAATGCAGTTCAAATCACTTAGGATAGAAGTATCTAATGTAGAAAAGCAGCAGGTGTGTCTGACGCACCTCTCCGGTGTTTGGGTTCCAGCACAGGATCCGGTTGTCTTTGCCGCTGCTCAGAAGAAGCTCCGGATCGGCTTGACTCCACGAGATGGACAGAATTCCTCTGGAAGATTGAAAAGAGTGCGCTCGTGAACTGAACGGCATGAGCTGAACCACACAGGGTTTGTGTCCATCTCTACCTGGTGTGGCTCTCCAGGACTTTGAGCGGCGAGGTTGCAAACCGAAGGTCCCACATCTGCATGACCGGAAGTCTGTCGTCCTCTGATGCCAGAAGCAGCTGAGTGGCCACTTCTGGATGCCACAACATCCCCGAGCAGTGCATCTGACACACATCACACAGCAGCTTCAAACTTTACATGGGACTGATGTCATCTGCTTTCTAAAGGACGTTTTGGAGCTTAACTCTTTCCCTCGCCATTGACGAGTTATCTCGTCTTTTAGAAGAAAACGCTTCACTGTTATACACTCGAGGGCGCTATTACACGTCTTCTGAACGAGTACAAAACCTCCCGAACAAAAACACATGTGAACAGGACGGAGAAACGAGCGGTCTCTTATGTAAACAGATGCATATGACAAATAATGCGATCATCAGCAATAGACAGCATATAAATGAAAACTGCATAATGTTACGGAGTAAAATGTTGATCCAGGAAGTGATGTCTGTGCTTTGGAGGTGTTGATGGAAGCGATTTACTGGATTTATGCTTTGATAATCATACTGAATATTATCCAGATGTAGTTTTTGATAAAAATTTGATTTTGTCGCCTTTTTGCTCAAAATTATGCATTTTTATGAAACCTACCTATATTCAAGTGTTGATAAAAAAGAATGCTTTAAGCTATAATAAAATAGATTTTTTTGGTTTAAAAGTAGAGGCTCTGATCTTTATTTTGGTGTATTGCATATTCAAATATTCATACAGCAAAATATACTGGAGGCCATCAAATTTTAGTGAAAATCATCAAAAACGTTTTTCAAAAAAATGCTGAGAGAGAGGAAAGCGTTAAATGTGACCCTGGAGCACAAAACAAAAAAGGAGCAAAAAAGTGTCAATTTTTCGAAATAGAGTTTTATGCATCATCTGAAAGCTGAATAAATAAGCTTTCCATTGATGTATGGTTTGTTAGGATAGGACAATATTTGGCTGAGATACAACTATTTGAAAATCTGGAATCTGAGGGTGCAAAAAAATCTAAATATTGAGAAAATCATCTTTAAAGTTGTTCAAATGAAGTTCTTAGCAATGCATATTACTAATCAAAAATTGAGTTTTGATATATTTACGGTAGGAAATGTACAAAATATCTTCATGGAACATGATCTTTACTTAATATCCTAATGATTTTTGGCATAAAAGAAAAATCTATAATTGTGACCCATACAATGTATTGTTGGCTATTGCTACAAATATACCCCAGCGACTTAACACTGCTTTTGTGCTGCAGGGTCACATATATAAGCGTGAAAGAGTGAGACTCATTTTAGGATCAAGACATTGTGAAAATATATTCATGACAATTACACACATATTTTCCTCCCAGATTCTCATTACCACAATGCAAACACAAAATCTTATTCGCATTACTGTAAAATAAATAAATAAATATTTTTTGTAAAAAAACTAAAACCTATTAACAGACACTCTTAATTTTTAGTATATTATTTTATAATTTATTTATATTATTTTATAATTTATTATATTTTGTTATATTATCATCATAAATAGGTCTGTTAAATTATACTAAAGTTATACTAGTCATTATTAAATTGTATAATATTATTTATTCTATAATTTAATAACAACAATGTATATTTTATTATACATGATATAAAATAATAAATAGATCTACTAAATTAAACAAATTAATTTATTTATATTTATAATAAATAAGCTTTATTATTTGTTATATTTTATTATTATTATTATTATTTATTCTAGTTTAATAACAATACATATACAGTATATTTACTATACATTATATATATATACTAAAAATAATACATTATATAAAAATATATTTTATGTTTATTAAATTATCATTTATTCTATAATTTAATAATAATAATCATATATATTATATATTATGTCTAATTTTAGAGACATTAAGACATTCTGAGACTACTGTAAAGACAATTAAACACACATTTTCTGTCCAGATTCTCATTACCAAATCTTATTCTCATTACTGTAAAAAAAAAAAAAATTATATATACACACACACTGTATATAAGTGCATACATACACACATACAGTAATGAGAATTAGATTTCTAAACTACACTAAAATCTATCTATCTATCTACCTATCTATAAGTGTATCTATTTTATGTATAAAGTACAATTGCACTGATTTTATTTTAAATGTTATGAAAATAAGTCCACTGTCCTCCTAAAAACAGGCTTCCTTTCCTTCATGCAAAATATAAACTCTTGTGTTTATTTAGGATGTTGTGGTGAAATATGAGCCACAGATTCACTCGATCCTCAGAGTGGATGGCTGTGCATGTCCTCACCCTGTTGCTGTGGTCACTGATTTTGATGATGGGCTCGTTCTTCCTCAGATCCCAGACGATGGCCTTCCCGCTGGGGTTTGCAGACGCCAGTATGTGCTGCCACAGACACAGACACAGACACAGACACAGACACACAGACACACACGGAGAGAACAGCACAACACCTGAGACCTCACACTAAACACCGCTGACCAACAAAACACCCCAAACGCAGAAAACAGACCGTCTCAGAACTGCTTTTTAGGTAGAAACCCATTGTTTAGTGAGCTGAGCGTTAGAGAAGAGGTTAATCAAAACCTAAACATTATAATAATAACATTTTAAAATATATATTTACATTTGAATTTTATTTAAAATTAAATTATAAAGCGGATAGTTCCGGTCCTTGATTCTGATTGGCTGAGCCGCGTTCGAAGCTGTTGTAAATGACTCTACAAAGTAACATACACCTTTGTTTACGTTTGTGTGTTGCTCGGCAACCACTTTGTAGCAACCACAACTGTTTCTGAGGAGCTACATTGTTTGGTGGAAGAATACTGTTTTTATTAATATCATTACACTTATTAATATCATTACACATTACACTAGCTGTTATAAATTCACTGTAAACTAAGGCTTCTTGGGGCTTATTGCATTATTTTAATATTTAGTGACCTCATATATTTCTATACTCATTTAGCCATCCATTACAATATTAAAATATACATATTTTAATATTTAATGACCTCATATCTATATATACCTATTTAGACACCCATTACAACATTAAAATATATTAATTTCAATATTTAGTGACCTCTAAATATATCTATACCTATTTATTTAGCCCCCCATTATAATATTAAAATATATTTTTGAATATTTAGTGACCTCATACATATCTATAGCCATTTAGAGACCCAATATTAATATATATCAATTTTACTATTTAATGACCTCATGTATCTATTTAGACACCTGATACAGTGACCTCATATATATCTATCTATACCAATTTAGCCATCCATCATAATATTAACATACATATTTTAATATTTAATGAATCATATATCTATCTATACCCATTTAGCCATCCATTGTAATATTAAAATATATATATTTTAATATTTAATGACCTCATATATCTCTCTTCCTATTTAGCCATTCATTATAATAATAAATATATACAGTATATATATATATATATATACACACACACACACATACCCGTTTAGCCACACAAAATAATATTAAAATATATTAATTTTAATATTTTGTGACCTCATACAGTATATATATATACCCATTTAGCCATCCTTTATAATATTAATATATATATATTTAACAATCTCATATATCTATCTATACCCATTTAGCCATCCATTGTAATATTAAAATATATATATTTTAATATTTAACGACCTCATATATCTCTCTGCCTATTTAGCCATTCATTATAATATTAATATATATTATTATATTAATATTTAACAATCTCACATATCTATCTATACCCATTTAGACACCCATTATAATATTAATAAATATTAATTTTTAGTGACATGCATAAGCACATGGATAAAACCACCAGAATATCTGTGACTTTCCCACAAACCACCAGGTGAAGATTCAGTGTAGTTACTGCAATTCATTACTGACCAAAATCCCGTCCAAAACAACCAAACACACTCTGCTTAGCAGATGAACGGTCTCAGAACTGTTTTTAGGTTTTAACCCATTAACACAGTGAGCTGAGTGTTAGAGAAGAGGTTAATCAAACCCCACACACCCTCCGAAGAACCAGAGACCTTGCTCTTACCTCACAGAGCTGAAGAAACAGAGACAGATGCAGTCAACAACATTTCAGAGAGTAATCGAACAGAGGTTCCACTAGGGCTGGGCGATATAGCTAAAAAATGTATCAACGATATAATGTTTCATATCGTTCGGTATCGATAATTATTAATTTTTTATAAACTTTTTTTAAAACAGAGCAACAGAAACGTTTAAATTTAACTACTGTGTTTTTAAATTAACCCAATTTATTGACAAACAACAAATGTTTTTTTTAACAGTCAAACACAAAATAAAAATTAAATATCTAATTTCTAATGTTTTATATGCAGATTAAACAGGTCTTAAGCAAACTTTTGGCTTGTCTCCCGAAGCCACAGGAGGGCGCAAGGAGCAAAATAATGAAGTGCATTTAAATTATCAACGCAAGGAAATAACTGTCTATAAAAAAACGTGCATTACGTCTAAATTAACTCATATAAATCAAATATAATTCCGAACAATTATGAACAAAACAGCATCATGTATTTATGCATTGTTAAAACATGAAAACATAAAAACATGAGACGCAATGAAAAGGAATAAACCTTCACAAATTCGCGACGTGTTTTCTAAAAGTTTAAACTGTTTTAACTTTGCATGGCTTTCTATACATCTCTTGTGTGCGACGCGAGTGCAGCATTCATATTTGTCCGTGTAAAAATGTGCTGAATTTGCATTCTGTGTGAATGGCTTGGTTTCGGGGTTTAACCTAATTAAGATCAGCTACTATATTCCTCTAATATTTTGAATGAATAACGCAGCAGCGGCGCGTCTCGTGGGCTAGACTAACAAAACATTAAAATGCAACGTCACTTACATCATCATCACCGCATCTCGTGCGCCACTGATGACGCTCCCTGACGCACTCCTAACATTCAAATGCAAATGTTTATTTTAACCTCGACTAATATTCATTCTTTATTCACAATCTCCTCATCACAGGCAGCACAGCACTCAGCATGTGTTTGTGTTTGTGTGTGCGGTCTGCGTCACTCATAGCATGTGCCTATATCCTGCACTATATCGAACATTTTTTATATCGTTATCGAAGAAGGTGTACCGTCGATATAGATCGATACCGTTTTATCGCCCAGGCCTAAGTTCCACACAAACACATTCCTACCTGTGACTTTGCGCCCGGCGTCATGGGATTACTGAAGTTGTTCAGGTCCCAGATGTATATTTCTGAATCGCTGGCTCCGGAGGCGATGATGTTACTCTGATGCGGAGGAAACACACATGTGTGTTTGTGAAAGCGTCAGCGGATGTGATCGGATCTGAAGCGAGAGTCTGAGCTGTACCTGGAAGCGGTTGTAGTCGAGCGTGTGCACGGGGCCCGTGTGTTTGTTGGACTGTCCGATCACGGCGTCCTCTCCCGCGCTGAGAATAGCGTCGGGGCTGAAGACGCTCACGGTTCCGCTCTCACTGCCTCCGATGAGCCGCCCGGATGAGCCCTTCACCTCCATATCAAACGCCACCCAGATCAGACTGTGAAACCTGACAAACACACACGACATTCCATAGGCGTAATGGTTTTTATACTGTATAAACTGTATTTTCTATCATCCTACACCTAAACTGGCGTGTTTGTGTGTGTTAGATCACACAGAGGTGATGACGACGCGTCTGACTCATTCTCCTCTCTAAACTAAAGCTGCCGTTAAACAGGGATTTCTGCTATTCAATCGCCGCCGGGGGAAGATGCTATTAATATAAAACTACATTCACCTTCAAGGAAGAGACGTCAACAAACTGCTGCTGTAACTCCACCACTTTATGTCAAAACTCAGTGGAGGTTTTTGAAAGTTTTCTGTACAGTTCAGTGTGGAGAGAGATCGTAATAAACATCCAAACACACCCAGTCATCATCCAGACAATCAGAAATACCTCAAACCTTCAGATGAGCGCACTGACTACACTATATATTCTGAAGAAAATGTGAGACGTGCTTTTCTGTGCAAAAGTCATGGCCACAATGCTAGGATGGAAGGTTGTTTTGCATTTTCAGTTTAATTTTATGTGAAAAGTTTTTAAGATTCAGTAAGATTAATACTTTAATTCATCAAGGATGCATATAGAACTTCCAATGAACAATGTCTGAAACTTTGTATCACGAGCACTTCCTGTGTTTATTTGCCTCTTTATGATGAATTGCAAATGTAAGTCACTTTAGATAAAAGCGTCTGCTAAATGAATAAATATAAATCTACAATGCTACAAACGTTTTCTATTTCAAGTAAATGCTGTTCTTTTGAACTTTCTATTCATCTGTGAATCCTGAAAAATAAAATGCATCACAGTTTCCACAAAAATAATACTGTTTTCAACACTGCTAATAATCAGAAATGTTTCTTGAGCAGCAAATCAGCATATTAGAATGATTTCTGAAGATCATGTGACGCTGAAGACTGGAGTAATGCAGCAGCGTATCACAGAAATAAATTACATCTTAACAGATATTCACATAGAAAACACTGTTTTAAATTTAAATAATATTTTACAATTTTATAGTATTTTGGTCAAATAAATGCAGCCTTTGTGAGCAGAGCAGACTCAAAAACATTATAAAATCCCCAAACTTTTAAATGGTTTACTGTATAACATAATTTCCTCACCTGTATGCGAATAACTGACCTGTTGGAAGTGGGCAGAGTTCCTCTGAGCTTCATGTCCATGGATGTATCAGCGAAATCCATCTCAAAGATCTCCAGGGCGGCGCTGGTGTTGAAGGATGCATCCAGCTGCTGCGCTGCGGTTCCTGCAGATACGAGACAGTGAAGAAGACCAGATCACTCCAGCATTCTGGATGCGCTTTGAATAAAACAAACACAAGCTGACAGGTGAAAACACACACACACACACACACACACACACACACACAGGTGCACAGTTACCTAAGGCCAGGTACGCGGGGTGCTTCATCGCAGGACTCCATGCCTGTGTCGCAGCCCTGAGTATCTCCTTCACCCTCATCTTCCTCCCAAATCCTGAAAAGAACACAGATCTGAGATTCACCTGTCAACTCTAACGATATAATGTTTCCTATGAATTCTAATTCATAATGTCAATGTCTAACATCTACATTAACAACGTCAGATCAGCCTAAAGAACCTGAAAGTGACTTAACATCACGTTAAATAAAAGTAATAACAAAAATGCTAACACATTTCTGAAATACCCTTAACAGAAATCACTAAAACAGCAGCACTAATGTATATTCAGATATTATGTCTCAGATTCGTATTATATATATTCTCAAATTAATTTAGCATCTTTATAAACTAGATGTGTAATAAATGCCGTGTGGAGTTTCTATAGAGCAGAAGTATGTTTATAATCACAGTTGTTTATTCCTGATTATCTGCTGTTAGCGTTAGCATTAACCTGCTGCTCGCCGTCTGCGCTCCAAACACACACGATCACACGCAATAAAACATCACAAGATCTCGAGTTGATCTTAAAAACGTCAGATCACAGTAAGTGTTGTGTGTGTACTTACCGTTGCTTGTGATTATTAGTCTCGTTTGTGTGTTGCTGAGAGTTTAGCGGCGCTACTCGCGCGTCACTCGTGGGGAATGTAGTCCGGGGCGGAGTTGTAGTCCAGTACGGCAGCCGGCGAGGGACAGAGTTTACGAAACGATTTGTATCTTTCTACTAATGCCAACATCGCTTAAAGTAAAAATGATTGAATTAAATATTAAATAATAAAAACTTAATTATTCACTAAAACTAAATTAAGCCAACATCGCCCATGTAGATGTTCCTTCAATATTTAGGATATTTTTTTCCTGTATCTTACTGGGTCAAAAGTGGAAAAAAAAAATAACGCTATACATCCAAATTATATTGTTTGTTGTTTAACACTTAATGTTGTTCTTATTAACTGCATTTTAGTTCAAGGACTGACTACTGACCTCCCATCAGACATAAAAAAATATTTTAAAAACTATTGAAAATAAAATCATTAAAAGTAAAACATCAAATATGAAACGATTATTGCTGTCAAACGATTAATCGCATCAAAAAAAAAAACATTTGTTTACATAATATATGTGTGTACTGTGTATACTTATGTATATATAAATACACACACATGCATGTATATATTTAAGAAAAATGTTTTGTTTATATAAAAAATATTTTTATATAAATTATAAAATTATAAGACTTCCAATTATAAGTCTCTTCTGCTCGTCAAGGCTGCATTTATTTGACCAAAAAAATGCAGAAAAAAAATGTAATATTGTAAAATATTACAATTTAAAATAACGTTTTTCTATTTTAATATACATTAAAATGTAATTTATTTCTGTGATCGAAGCTGTATTTTCAGCATCATTACTCCAGTCTTCAGAAATCATTCTTAAATGCGTTTATTTATAACAATGTCTTTATTATCACTTTTTATCAATTTAACACATCCTGCCTGAATAAAAGCATTCATTTCTTAAAAAAAGAAAAAGAAAAAAAAAATTACTGACCCCAAACTTTTGAACGGTAGTGTATGTGTGTATTAATATATACATAATTAATATACACAGTACACACATATATTATGCAAACAAAAAATTAATAAATACAAAAATTATTTACTTTTATTTTGTATGCGATTAATCGTTTGAAAGCACTAGAAATGAATGCATGTAACTAGCATACATCTGAACAATATCTAACATAAAACAACAGAAGCGCTCTTGATTTAGAAAATAATGTTATTATGCTTCACATAACGAAAGGCTGATGACAGTTTAAGGTCTCAGGTAAGAAAAGACAAACCCAACACATGACATTTAAATTAACTTTATTAGAGACAGAAATATGCAGAAGTTACGGAACAGAGATGATTCTAGCATTAGATTTCATAATGTTTGAGCGGTTCTGGTTCTTTCTCCGGATCTCCGCCTCTCTCCAGATACAGCTCGCTGTAAGGATACTGTTTAGGAGCCTGGAGACAACATCAAAAATACTAAAACTTTACGACTGAAGTATGCAATTAGTTGCAAACTGTTTCTAAACAAGTTTCAGCTGCTAAAAAAGTTTGCAATTCCTAACTTGCTTGTGGTGCAGGATTAACACACTTCCCTTCTTTCTATCTTTCTACTACACAGCTTGTTGTTCTCCCTTTACTCACCACAGGCTGGTAGCAGGGGAACATCTCGCCCAAACCAAACATCAGCAGCATGAAGCCCACGAACCCCAGCAGCTGGTTCCGCATCGTCCTCCACTCCACGGGGCTCGGAGACGTGTCAACCCTGTTCCTGATGTACATGTCAAAGTCCCAGTGCATCTACAACACAGACATGAAACATAATATTCACTTCCTCCGGTGAGAAAGTGTTCTGGTGATTTCAGTGTTCTGCACGTTCACTTCGTAAACACTGGGTCGGTGCTTCCGCCTTTCCAACGTGATTACGTCATGCGTGAAGAAGTCAAGCCAGTGCAAGACATGCATTTGTAGTTAAAAAGTATATAAATTTTAATTTTTTTTAGAAAATGAGCGATGGTTTCTCTAGATAAGACTCTTATTCCTTGGCTGGGATCCTGTAGAGCTCTTTGAAGCTGCACTGAAGCTGCACTTTGAACCTTCAACCCGTTGATCACCATTGAAGTCCATTATATGGAGAAAAATGTGACCCTGCCTGTGAAAACCCAGCTAGTCATTTTGTTTGTGATTTACTGTTTTCTACATAAAATCATCCTTCATAAAGATGTAGAACATTCTGTGAAATATAACCTTTATGTCTTTAATATTGACTGAGTGAGGCCATGTCAAAGATTGAAATCATAGTGAAATTAATAGTTGAAAACAAACTTTGATGCTTGTCATCTCATAATTAGATTTTGAGACTTTAGCCTGGATTTCACAGACAGGGTCACAAATCCTGGAACGTTTTCCTCAATTTCTTCGCGACTGAAGACAGAAAGATATGAACATCTTGATCAGTAAACGATCAGGACATTTTTATTTTGGAAGTGAACTAATCCTTTCGTACCGGCTCTCCCCAGTTCCTCCTGAGATCAGGATGGTCCCACTGATACCAGGGGTCTCTCTCCTGCTGCGATCGCTCCGGAAGCAAGGGGTAATCACCGTACCTGCGACACAACAGAGCAAACATATTTAAACACATCATCAGCCATTCGTCTTTCTGCAAACGAAACACGTTATTCATTCAGAAAGATACTCACCCCATGCCATCATCAGGATAAGGTTTGTAATCTTCCAGCGTCATGTTGTATTTCTTGGCTGCTGCTGCCGTCTCCTCAGGGGTTCTGGGGTACGAACCGGGCAACATGTCCTTAGAGGGACCAGATGCTATAAAACAACACAAACTTGATCATAATAACACATTACACACAAAACCAAGAGAATAAAACAGACTAGCTTTAAGCAGACACATTCTACACATAAAAGCTTGTATTTTAGTTAACTAGGTTAATTATATGAATGAATGAAACCTGAAATCTGAATAAAAATTCAAGACATCCTGTAGTATATAGTATACAATACAGGACTACACACTTAGAACACGGCATTTACATTTAGCAGACGCTTTTATCCAAAGCGACTTACATATGAGAACATATAATGCATAATGTGTTAAAACAAAACACCAGTTAATCCTAAAGCAACGCAGTTAACGATTTATTACATTTGTTTACAAACACGTAAAACACTGTCACGGATTCGCTTAGCATGTTAGCTCCGCAGCCTTGACATGAAGGTTATCGTTCATTTTCTCCTATAAGACACTGCTTTCATAGCGTATATTCACATACTGCGAAAGCACAGATGTGTGAGACAGCACCTGCTCTTGTTCCGAGGATAATGTTTGGGATTCCCGGTGTGTTTCCTTTAGTAAGAGCTCGGGTCAGGAGACCCGCTCTGAGGGCCGCCATCTTGCCTCGCTGACACGCCACAGCGCGCATGCGCGGACTGCCGATTCTGCGCAGAGGACACGCCCCCAATGACGCTGCAGCAGAAAGCGATGAGAGACTACAAATAATTAAATAAATGGTTTTAGATCTTGTTTTGGATAAATGTGAAGCCAAAAAGAGTCAGTATTTTTATTAGTATTATTAATTATGATTATATGAAATTATACGGTATGTGATATGATTATCGCCATTTAATGTTACTCATTCCAAATGTATGTATATATTTAAAATATACTAATTCGTTAATTCCAAGAGAATGTAAAATAATTTTGTTTCTCTGTCAACGCTGCAGTTCTTCTCGACATCCACACGATGGCAACATTGTTAGTATCATTATTTTTTATGAGCAGTAGTAGTATTTTTGTTTTCATTTTATTTATTTTTACATTTTATTTATTTTCACAACCATATTCTGTAACTTGTGCATTTTAGTATGTTAAGTCACAACAGTGATTTCAGTTTATTAGCTGCATGTCAGTTCGATTTGTTATTTTTGTAGGCCAGCCAGTCTCACAGAACTACATTACCCACAATGCCCCACCGGCGCTCAGCGGAGCATCCCTCGACGAGCAGAACGCGCAAATGATGCGCTCTGGCGTTTTCTTTCGAGACAGGTGATGGTTGCACGCCGAAGAGGAATCGTTCGTTATGGCCCGAGCCGTGGAATATTTCCTGAGGGTTGTTCTTTAAGTGAGGAATGTCAGTTGGTGTTTCTTCCATCGGGATTCACGCGCAAATTGCAGGAAGATGAAGAAGCAATTCAACCGAATGCGACAACTGGCCAACCAGACCGTGGGCAGGTAAAACACCTTCATCTGTGGCTGGGATCCTGTAGAGCTCTTTGAAGCTGCACTGAAGCTGCACTTTGAACCTTCAACCCGTTGATCACCATTGAAGTCCATTATATGGAGAAAAATGTGACCCTGCCTGTGAAAACCCAGCTAGTCATTTTGTTTGTGATTTACTGTTTTCTACATAAAATCATCCTTCATAAAGATGTAGAACATTCTGTGAAATATAACCTTTATGTCTTTAATATTGACTGAGTGAGGCCATGTCAAAGATTGAAATCATAGTGAAATTAATAGTTGAAAACAAACTTTGATGCTTGTCATCTCATAATTAGATTTTGAGACTTTAGCCTGGATTTCACAGACAGGGTCACAAATCCTGGAACGTTTTCCTCAATTTCTTCGCGACTGAAGACAGAAAGATATGAACATCTTGATCAGTAAACGATCAGGACATTTTTATTTTGGAAGTGAACTAATCCTTTCGTACCGGCTCTCCCCAGTTCCTCCTGAGATCAGGATGGTCCCACTGATACCAGGGGTCTCTCTCCTGCTGCGATCGCTCCGGAAGCAAGGGGTAATCACCGTACCTGCGACACAACAGAGCAAACATATTTAAACACATCATCAGCCATTCGTCTTTCTGCAAACGAAACACGTTATTCATTCAGAAAGATACTCACCCCATGCCATCATCAGGATAAGGTTTGTAATCTTCCAGCGTCATGTTGTATTTCTTGGCTGCTGCTGCCGTCTCCTCAGGGGTTCTGGGGTACGAACCGGGCAACATGTCCTTAGAGGGACCAGATGCTATAAAACAACACAAACTTGATCATAATAACACATTACACACAAAACCAAGAGAATAAAACAGACTAGCTTTAAGCAGACACATTCTACGCATAAAAGCTTGTATTTTAGTTAACTAGGTTAATTATATGAATGAATGAAACCTGAAATCTGAATAAAAATTCAAGACATCCTGTAGTATATAGTATACAATACAGGACTACACACTTAGAACACGGCATTTACATTTAGCAGACGCTTTTATCCAAAGCGACTTACATATGAGAACATATAATGCATAATGTGTTAAAACAAAACACCAGTTAATCCTAAAGCAACGCAGTTAACGATTTATTACATTTGTTTACAAACACGTAAAACACTGTCACGGATTCGCTTAGCATGTTAGCTCCGCAGCCTTGACATGAAGGTTATCGTTCATTTTCTCCTATAAGACACTGCTTTCATAGCGTATATTCACATACTGCGAAAGCACAGATGTGTGAGACAGCACCTGCTCTTGTTCCGAGGATAATGTTTGGGATTCCCGGTGTGTTTCCTTTAGTAAGAGCTCGGGTCAGGAGACCCGCTCTGAGGGCCGCCATCTTGCCTCGCTGACACGCCACAGCGCGCATGCGCGGACTGCCGATTCTGCGCAGAGGACACGCCCCCAATGACGCTGCAGCAGAAAGCGATGAGAGACTACAAATAATTAAATAAATGGTTTTAGATCTTGTTTTGGATAAATGTGAAGCCAAAAAGAGTCAGTATTTTTATTAGTATTATTAATTATGATTATATGAAATTATACGGTATGTGATATGATTATCGCCATTTAATGTTACTCATTCCAAATGTATGTATATATTTAAAATATACTAATTCGTTAATTCCAAGAGAATGTAAAATAATTTTGTTTCTCTGTCAACGCTGCAGTTCTTCTCGACATCCACACGATGGCAACATTGTTAGTATCATTATTTTTTATGAGCAGTAGTAGTATTTTTGTTTTCATTTTATTTATTTTTACATTTTTTCACAACTCACAACCATATTCTGTAACTTGTGCATTTTAGTATGTTAAGTCACAACAGTGATTTCAGGCTGCATGTCGCATGTCAGTTCGATTTGTTATTTTTGTAGGCCAGCCAGTCTCACAGAACTACATTACCCACAATGCCCCACCGGCGCTCAGCGGAGCATCCCTCGACGAGCAGAACGCGCAAATGATGCGCTCTGGCGTTTTCTTTCGAGACAGGTGATGGTTGCACGCCGAAGAGGAATCGTTCGTTATGGCCCGAGCCGTGGAATATTTCCTGAGGGTTGTTCTTTAAGTGAGGAATGTCAGTTGGTGTTTCTTCCATCGGGATTCACGCGCAAATTGCAGGAAGATGAAGAAGCAATTCAACCGAATGCGACAACTGGCCAACCAGACCGTGGGCAGGTAAAACACCTTCATCTGTCTCTCTCGCTGCCGCCGATGTCCGAGTCATGAATATGTGATTAGCTTTACCTTACTTATTTACATATGCAAATGTGAAAACCTGACGTTTAGAGTGAGAGTGATAGGACCGGGCTGTGTTGGGTTGTGCTGGTTTATGCTGGTTTGTGATGTTGTGATGGAGACAGACGGGCATCTGTGCAGCGGTGCTGATGTGGGCCTCTAGAGCATCCTTCACCTGTCCTCACCCCAGACCCAAACCTATTAGCCACAATATATCTATCTATCTATCAATCTATCTATCTATCTATCTATCTATCTATCTATCTATCTATCTATCTATCTATCGTCAACAATCAATCAATCTATCAATCTATCTATCTATCTATCTATCTATCGTCAACAGTCTATCTATCTATCTATCTATACATCTATCTATCTATCTATCTATCTACCTATCTACTGTCTATCTATCCATCTATCTATCTAATCTATCTAGCTGAAATAATTTTTTAAATATTAAATAATTAAAAAAAATATTATTTAAATATTTAATATTGTTTAAGTTATTCAAATATTTAATATTTAAATATTTTATTAAAAAAAGATTAAAAAAAAAAAAAATTTAAATTTAGTTTCAGTTCTAGCTTTTTTA